GTTGGGTGTTTCCCGTTTCCACGGTTGATTTGTTAAAGGCTTGGAGAGGGTGTATAGTGGAGAGCCGAGACACGGATGCGTGGAGGGCCACCCCCTTTGTTTATGGTGGGGTTTGTGGCGTGAGAGGAATAGGAGATCCTTTGATAGAGAGTAGTCCCCCTATTTGGTCTCTCAAATACAACATATTTTCTTCTTTATTCTTTTGGTTCGATGGAACAAATTGTAAATCTTTAGGATGTCTTTTAGAGTTCCTGGATAGTTTGAATTTATAGTGGCGATTTGGGCGTCTTTTGTATTTCTTTCGGAACGCTTACCTTTTGAGCGTCGTTTAATAGAATCTTGTTTATCAAAAAAAAAAGTTTTAACACAAAAGGACAGTTGATATTTGGGAGGAGAGGGAGAGAATGATGAGAGCTTCCCTCAGTAGATTTTGGCTTTCTAGCATGCTTTTTCAACTTTTCTGCACCAATTTCACCTTGATCTTTCATCAATCTCCTATATAATTCACTGAATTTTCACTGATTTTCATTAAGCAAGTTCTTTAGATATACTGTTCATACTGATTCCTGTAGTTGAAATAATATTCTCATTGTTTCTGTCTTGGCTGGTGGTGGCTTTCCAGGTGGAAAATGTAGGGGGAAATCAAGATCATGAATGAAGATGAATGTAAATCAGTGGCCGACACTGTGAAAGACGTTGAAAATGGTGTTGATGAATGAAGCTCTGTGGATTTCAGTGAGGAATACCGAGATTTGCAGACTGAGATGTCAATACTGAGAATGAATGAAATGGAAGATACTCTAATGAAACGAGGCAATCCCAGTTTACTGGTGGGTGAAATGGCTTTGTTCACTTAAATGTTCGTTGTGCTGTTCTTGGCAGTCTGTAGTTGGGGGACAAAAATATATATCTATTGCAGAAGGTTGCAAAAACACTAAAGGATGGAAGAAAGTTCATCATCCAAGCCAAAAAAGAGCACTAAGCTTTGATTTCCCTTGTCAAAGCTACAAATGTGAAAAGATGGTAGACATTGGTAATAGATTCCTGCGATGTATGGTGCATCTAGAGGAGAACAACATTATGGTCAACTAGTCCATGCAAAATTTAACCAGTTGACAATCAAGATTGAGGCGAGTTTGAAGAGAGAAGTGGTTTACTTAAGGATGTCAGGGGCAGAGGCTACTTAAACATGTGATAGAGTTAATGCTAAAGCATCGTGTTCCTTAAACAATATACACATTCAGTAATCACCACATACCCGAAGCAATTGTACCACTTCATCCATCCCAAAGTAACCATTTGCATGAGCAATGTTCACATTTGTCTCCCTTAATGATTTTTTTTTTTTTTTTGACAAGTAATAATCATTAAAAGTGTTCAAAAGGGGAACGCATCTCACAGAAACAACACAAGGCCAAATAGGGCCTCTGAACCCTCAACGAATCCAAAAACTCTACAAGTTCATCCAAAGATTTACAATTTTTCCCTACAACCCAACAAAAAAGAGTGCTAAGAATGGAGAACTTCAACGCCCCAATTGCTTATCCATTCATTCAAAGGATCTCAAATTTATTTCAAGCCATAGACACCACCAAACGCACAAAAGAGTAACCCTCCAAGAGTCATGAGCTAGGGCCCCCACTGTACAACCTCTCCAAGCCTCAATCAAATCTCTGGTAGACTGTGGCATAACCCAATGACTCCCAAACAAACCCAAAAGCAGAATCCAACAATCACGGGCCACCGGGCAATGTAAAAGAAGATGATCGACCGTTTGCTCATCATTTTTCCACATAAAGAACCAGTTCACCACGATTTGTCTTATTCTCTGTAGATTGTCCAGGGTCAAGATCTTACCCAAAACAGATGTCCATGCAAAAAACGCCACTTTGAGAGGTGCCTTTGTTCGCCAAACGGCCCTCCATGGAAAGGATGGTCCAAGAGCAACCACAAGACAACAATAAAACGACCGAACATCAAATCACCCATGTGAAGAAGGAACTAAAACACATATGTCAGATGTCTCCTCCTCAATCTCCTGTTGATACAACCACCCCAAAAAATCGATTGTATCCTCCATCTCCCAATCTTGAAACGGCCTCAAGAATCGTACATCCCACACTGCTCCATTGCTATCAAGACAATAGCAGTCGTCCACCATGGCATGTCTATCGGAAGCTAGGGAAAGTGATAGCAAAGGGACGATCTCCGCACCAGATGTATCCCAAAAATGTAATCTCCTGCCATTTCTGACACGAAATCTAATGTGTTTGGAGAATTCGTCCCAACCCTTCCGAATGTGTTTCCAAACCCCAACCCCAAATGGGATTCTCACCTCGGGGCAAAACCAACCTCCACTCGCCTCCCCATGTCTACTCACAATCACCCTCACAATCACCCTCCTCCAAAGTCTGTGCCTCTCCATTCCAATCTCCAAAGCCATTTCCCCAATAAGGCCTTATTAAAAGGCACTAACATTCTAATATCCAAGCCTCCTTTCCGAATCAGTGTGCATACCCTCTCCCAACGCACTAAATGATACTTGAATTCCTCCCTTTACAGCCCCACAAAAAAATTCGCTGCAACATCTCAATCCTTTCAGCCACTGAAGAGGGAATCCGGAATAAAGACAGGAAGTACATAGGAAGACTCGACAAAGTACTCTTCAGAAGAGTTATCCTCCCCCCTTTGGAAATGTACTGCTTCTTCCTACCAGCCACTTCTCATATCTCTCCACCACCAGATCCCAACTACCCACACTCCTGGACGAAGCACCTAGAGGCATACGCAAATAAGAAATGGGTAAAGAACCAGTTTTGCACCCCAGAACAAGAGCCAGAGTAGAGAAATTGGGGACCTCCCCTACCGGCACTAGGACACTTTTGTAATCAGTTCTCAACAATCCTCCTATTCATTAATAATGATTGTGCCATCACTTTTGAATATAATAAAGCTAAAATCATTCCATATGACGGAAATGACAATTTCGATTAACAGAAGAGAAACATGAAGCGGAGAATAACAGGTTGACCCCTATGTCTGACTCATAACAAAAACTATTCCCAACTTATTCAAAGAAGTTACGTCTGACAGATAATAAGCTTGGTTCTTCATGGAAAATATCAAATAGAATAAGTTTTAAGGCAAGTATTGATAACAGTTCCCAACATCAATTATTGGGTAAGCAAAGAAAGTATTTAAAATAGTACCCAAAATCATCCTTTTAAGGGGTCATCAAATGGCCAAATCATAATTATAAAAACTGAATGGTTCCATGTCAAACATAGAATGTTTAAAAAAACCAATTCACTCCTATGCCATTTCATTTTAGCAGGTGAATAACTATGCCGATATGAATTCTGTCAGCTAAAAAAAAGGCAATAATGCCCTGTCACAAGTGATTTGACCAACATCAACACAACATTCAAAAACACTATCCTTATATTTTGACTGTAGCTCTTTAAACAAAATGCATCATGCAATCAAAAACATAAAACAGGTATGTGCTATAATTCTAGATGCTTGAAACTTGTTAGGTGAGTCGTGTGCTGACATATTCTTACTCAAAACTTTGGTTGTACTGTGTGTCAAATGTCTTGAGTCGTTTGTCTACAACTACAGGAAGAAAATGCAGATGAAGTTCAATGAGGAACACCCCGATTATCTCTCAAGTTCAATCACATATCTAGATTTAGATAAGTTGAAACTATAGAGACCAATAAAAACCTAGGTATGATATTTAGAAGGCTCAAAATATTATTTTAATTATGTTTTTAAGATTAGGATTCTGATCAAATTATTTAATAATGATTTACTAAAAAAAATTCAAATAGTGAGCATCAATTGATCAATCGGAACATAGACAGTAAATCTCGCTTGATGAAAATTTTACAGGAAAATTTTAATTAAAATCCAACAAGCTTTGATAAAAAAATAAAAATAAATAAAAAGGAAAAGAAGAAAAAGTTGACCGATCAAAGCAGTGACAATGGTGCTCAATCAAAGTTCCAACTTATCGAGCCCAGAGAAAACCTGTTTTTAAAAACTCTCAAATTAAAATTTTAAATGGATTTCTTTTCCTAGCTTACATAGGACTCTTATATTGGCTATAAATTCGGGGTTATAGTCAATAAAGAGTGTGTCTTACAGAGCCTTCAACTCCACATATTATTAAGATATTTTATAGTTTTAAAGAGAGAACCTTGAAATTCACTATAGGATTTTTCATAGACCACCATACTACATGTGATTGAGAGAATCGAAGTAAAGAGCAGAATTGAAACTATCAAACAAAGCATCAGGTAATTCATAAAGAACAAGTTGAATGGCATGACTAGTCATTGGAGATCAAAGTACTAGAGGAAGAGTGGAATGCGTGAGGAGCGAGTTCATTGACTGGCAGCAGTAGAGACGGATCCACAATAAATTCTATAGATCCTTTGGATTGGTGTATTCTTTTAAATCCTGTAGTTTTCATGGATCCACCCAACTATCCAAGTATCACAACTCTTTCTACATGTAACTAGGGGATTCTTGGGGTAAAGTCTGGTCAGCCTGGTGTGTAATAGCTCTCTTCGTAGTGGATTTCCACTGCCAGACTAGGTCCATGGTTTTTCCCTTTCTATGGTTTTCTACGTATTACATTAAATCTATTTATTACTTTATGTGTTTGTGTAATTTCAAAAGAGACACATGGTGAACTAAACTTAAAAAGGATTAACAGAAAATTAAATACATAGCTGCAAATTAACATCCATAAAAACTATTCACTCCCCTGTATGTCTAATTAACTATTCGTATCAGAGCCTTGGATAACAATCTCATATTTAACAAAACTAATAAGTAAAAACTCAACTTAACAAAGCCCTTTTCCCAACCATATCAGTCTCACAAAAGTTTTACGCTTGCTTAAAATGTCATAAGTAAATACGATGAATAAACTTAAAAGTTCCCAATCCTCTATAGAAGATAATGAATTGTTCCAAGATAATGGATATTACCTAGTTCCTCAACCTCCCATCCTGCACGCCCAGCACCAGGAAGCACCTGCTTAGCTTCAGCTTGCTGCGTTTTTGCACGAAACTTCTTCTTCAGATTGCCAAACTCATCATACAATTCACCATCATCCTGAGATTTAACCAGAAATTCTTTCACAACTGTGATTTAGTATATAACTTCATGTACTGCTAGTCTTACCTCTTCAGCCTCCCGTCGACGTCGTCTAGTTTCCTCTATTTCCTCTTCATCAAGTTCTTTGTAACCACCACCACGTCCTCCTCTATGTAACCAAGAAAAAATATATATTACTAACATATGGCCAACTGTTAATAATAATTTCAACAGTATGTTTGAGACCATATATTACACCGAAATTCAAACCAAAAAAAACTATATGAAATTTGAATGGAGTACAGGTACCAAAATTAGCCATGCCAAACCAAAATTGCTAAAAAAATAAAATAAAATAAAATAAAATAAACTTACTTTTTTATAAGAGTAAATCAGAAAGCGTTCAAGAGGGGAACCCATCCCGAAATATTATTATATCATCTATAATTAGATACAGAAAATCATCTTTTTAACAAATGATACAAAAAAATCTTTAATAAGGAAAAAAAAAAAAATCACTTGTCCCAAAAAAAAAATTATTAAAAAAATTGAACTCTTGAAGGAAAAGAACATGTAAAATTACCACCAAGGGATGTAGCCTAGTGGTACTTCCTCACCTTCTAAAGTAGAAGGTTGAGGGTTCAAGTTCCCTTAGGGGTAAAGTGAGTGTGTCTTGCCAAGGGAAAAAAAAAAATTGTAAAATTAATGCCATTGATTGCATTTAGGATCTTGAAGATCAGATTTGAAAGCATGAGCTTGGAAAAGCAAATATTAAAAGAAAAGGATGTCAATCGAATATCTAATTGGGAACCACTTCCAAGGCACTGAATGCCAAAAGTTTTATCCATATTCAAATTAAGGTTTTGAACAAACAAAACTAAAAAAACATAACTTCTATAACTAATTATAAAAGAAAGGTTAAACTGCATTAAACCCCCTTGAACTATCAATTTTTGGCAAAATACCCCCTGCACTATCAAGTCAATAAGTGGCACCGCTTGGGGATGCAGTTTGCCACTTTTTAATAGTACATGGCTATTTTTAACTCCAGGTGAACTGAATCCATAGCCTTTTAAAGATCATGTAGGAGGGTACAGATGCTCTAGAAGAGAGCAAGTCCACATTAAAGTCCCACTTGGAATCTAAAGATAGACTTAGCTATTGTGTATACGATTTGGGGTAAGGATAAGGATAAGAAAAAAAAAAAAACTCAACCTAAAACGTACAAGGAAATAAACAATGAGTTAAAAAAAAATGACAAACTATGTTGATATCTATTGAGGCCATAATGATTTGGATTTCTTTTTTCCGACCAAAAAGAAAAACTAATGCAAGATACCAAACCCAAAAAAAAATAATAATAAATAACTTATCATGAATGAATTCACAAAACAATATGAATGACAACATTATCTAAAAAAAATGAAAAATTCAAACCATGATATGCCTGACCCAAAAAGTTTTTTATTTTGTACTAACACATTTACATATTAATGCAGCCATTGGACAATATCTCACACCACTCTTTATTCTCCTATACGGTTGTTTGGTGCAATGAGAGTTTACTTGGGAAAAAAAATACCTTACACCACCCTCATTGTGACCAGGTTTGTTGGTGTTGCAGATGTTGCATTTTGTGCGCTTTGCCCAGTTGATGTTGCCACACCTAAATCAACAAATTAGATGTATAAGGACAAAGCAACATTAACATATGTATAATATATGTGGTTGTCTATCTACCCCATTCATTTCAAAATACACAAGGAAAGGTAATTCATTTTAATTCAACAGGACATAAAATTAAAAATCATATCCTTGTCAAATATAAACTAGAAATGCACATACATTTGTTATAAATTAATTTTCAAGAACCATAAAAAGTTGGTGGTAAAGCAAGTATGACTTATGGGGCTGGCATCAATAAACCCATTTAATATACCAAGATAGATTTGGAACAAAATGTTTCTCAGTGAAACCAATTTGAGAAAAATAATCTTTCAAACAGAGAAAAAAGCAACATGGTGCATCTCAAAAGGCATAAAAATGCTAATATATATATAAACAGAATATCAAAGACAATAATGATAAACATGCTTGCAAAGATTTATATAGCAAGTACAAAATCAAATCGAATAGAGATAAATTAATACAAAATCAATGACTTCACTAATACAATTTCTGAACTCCAGATATGTGTACGGGTAAAATGAATTCATCAACCGTGTGTACTTTGTAAATACAGTCTCATATGACCTATCACCATTGAGCAAATCATGCTAAGATCTAGGTCAATGTCACTGAGCCTGCCGAGGTATAAGATCCCAGCTCAAGCTAAGCCAAATACCCATCACCATCAAACCATAAACCCCAAGGGTGGTTCATTTTAAGGAAATATTGGACTTAGCATGGATCGACATACATTTCCACCAGTCTTGGTTTATAGATCATATGTGCGAAGAGTAAAAGTTCAACATTGAGCCTCCCAACTCATAGAATGCCTTACTACTATTTTTTTCAGAGATTAGAATGCCTTATTAATGATAAAACTTAAGTGAGTAATGTGATTAATCTGCCTCTTAAGTATCAACAATTAACCCATTTATTAGAAAACTAAACAATAAGGAATTACTAACTTCCCAACAACTGCTAATTTAGGTATGATATCTTGAACGTACTCCCTTTCTGCATTGAGCAATAGCAACCAAGCCAGGGACTTCCTACATAGATGGGGCAACTAGAAATTATCCAAAGCAACAAGAAAAAAACCACCAAAAAGAAGCGGCTAGAGAGAGAGATGTTAATTTCTGCCAACAAAAAGCATGCAACCTCTAGGCTTCAACAACCTGATATTTTCAGTAGTGGCAGCCAACTCCAGTTCTACATCTAGAGGTAGGGGATCAGAAGTAGACAAGTACTAAAAAACCTGGAAATTACTACTACCTAATGGGGAATAAATTCGATTCATGTTTGATGATTCCCCAACAGACCTGAAAAAAGCTCGAAAATTTCTCGTAAATTTAGGCCATATAGGATTGCAGGCATAGGTAAAGCTAGTCAAGTGTGGCCCAAGCAATCATAGATTGGCATGATTAAATATCAGCCTTCAACTTAAGGCGCTCTCACTCAGAATACTTCAGGCAGTCAAAAGCCAAAACGATAGTTCGGGCACCACAATTCACAAGATTCCAAGAGAGAGGAGATTAAGTTATCCTTAAATAGAGTAACAACTTTGACCCACTCAATGGATAATTAAACAGAGAAAATGTAACCTAATTGGATCATCAGAAGATAGTATGTGGAAGAACACAACATATCTTTAGAGGTATATAACTTATGCATAAAAGTAATTGCCTTACATTGGACAAGGCCAATCATTTGGACCAAACAGTCCTGTAGGACCACCACCTGGACGGCCATGGCCTCCAGAATCAGGGCCACTGCGGCCTCTCCCCCGACCACCAGCCCCTGCACCACTCCCAGAGGCACCAGCTGGTCGAGCAGTTCCACAACGGTTGCACACTCCACGAAATGCAAAGTTTACATTGGAACAACTGCTACCAAGATAGAGCATAAGCAGCCATTTGCAAAGAACCATAATGTAAAAGACACCAGATCAACAAGGGGTACAAAAGCTGCTCACCAATATCACATCACAGACCTTGTATTCGGACACATCCAGTCTCCCTCTTGTTGCCATGCCTTCCCTGAAGCATCACCCCTACCTCTTCCGCCACTTCCATTCATCTCCTTTGAACTTTCCTCCAGCCCACCAAAATCAGCACCTAAGCTTGGATCTCCAACATGGTTCCCCGAGTTATACAACTGATCGTCTTTGCTTTTTGACTCTGCTATAAAAACTCCAATGGTGGTTCCATGAAAATCCTTATTGTTGAACCATTCAACAGCAGCTACTGCAGCATGTGGATCTTCATATGTCACTGTCGCATCTCCCTTTGGCTCGTTCGTGACCTTGTCTCGGTATAACCATATCTTTGGTAGACCTGTTCGTTTGTCTTTCTACAAAGTAAATGGACAAATACTTTTCAGAAACTGGTGAACTTAATATATATTAAAGCTATTCATAGCGAAGGCTGATAAGACACAAATGCAATCTCAATCAATACCTGGTCAGAATCATACCTTTAGCAACCCAATTGTGCCAAAATATTCAGCTAACATACTTTCATCAGTCCCAGGAGGCAAGTCACAAACATAGATCGATCCATTTGAAGGGGCTTCTTTTCCTAAGTAGCTTGCCATTGAGCTCCAATTTCATGAAATCACAGCAGATAAAACCAGCACCAAGTTACCAACCTACAAAATTCATAATTATGTAGCTTATATAAGTAGAAGCTCGTGCTATTCAAGATCTTAGTTAGCTAGAAGGAAAAAAATAAATAGAACATTATATAGTTTACAGATTTGAAAAAAATAAATAAAGTAACTAGGATAAACGCAGATATAGTCAATGCTACACCTAGATTGAATGCAATTTAAACAAAAATTTACTAATAAGTCAAGACACTCTACATTGTGCCATTGTTAGATATGGCTTTATCAATGATGTTATTAAATATATATGTGAGCCACGATACGAGCTTGATGTCTCGGGATCATTGGTTAGGACTAAGGCGTATATTGCCGGAGACAAGTAGCTTGTATTGGTGACTGGTGGGCCCTGGTAGTATAGGGACTCTTGACGACTTTGTGTGCGATTTTCAGGTGATACCTTCTATCAGGTTGAGGCTGCTCAATACATAGTGGAAAGTGAGATAGTGTGTATATATATGTATCAACTATGTAGCTATTGCATGAGTTTGGCTAGGGGTGTATCGCTTATCGGTTCTCTGATTGGGTTGTAGTAGAAAGAACTTGTTCATGGGTCTGACTCACACTTTTATTTTTCAGGTCCTTGACCGTATTAGTCTTGCAGATCAAAGACCATTCACATCCACTTTTTGGAGTCATCGACTTAGGATACTATCTTTATTTAGTTGATTCATTAGACTTATACATTTATTATTTCCGGATCCCGTGTTCTGTTGCTAAAAGAATTGAAAAAATTCAGAGAGATTTTCTTTGGGGTGGAAAAGGAGAGGAGTTTAAGTATCATCTTGTTAGTTGGGAGCAGGTTTGTAAACCATTGAAGTTTGGCAGTTTAGGTATCCGGAAGTTAGTCCCTTTCAATAGAGCTTTATTGGGGAAGTGGTTATGGAGATTCGGTAAAGAACGTCATCGACAATGGAAAAGAGTTATCTCGTGTCGTTTTGGGGAAGAGAGTGGAGGTTGGTCCTCTCGTCCTGTTTCTATTACCGGGGGCGTTGGCGTTTGGAAGTTCATTCGGAAAGGTTGGGATGTGTTTTCCACCCATATTCGGTTCAAGGTTCGTAATGGTGTGGTGATCAGTTATTGTCTCTTTCTTTTCCTCATCTCTTTAGCATTGCCGAGAATAAGCATGCTTATGTAATTGATTGTTATCATCTTGATAACAGTGGAGTTACGTGGGATGTGCGTTTTAGGCGTGCCTTCCAGGATTGGGAGATAGCTGAAGTTTGCGTCTTCTTGGACTTGTTGTATAGACAGAAAGATGTTGGCAGAGGTTGTGATGATATTTTGTGGACTCCCTCTCTTCATGGTAGATTTGAAGTTCGATCCATGTTCTTGTGTTTGTCTAATTTTATTGGATATGATTTCCCTTGGAAGTGTATTTGGCGCTCTAAAGCTCCTCTTAGAGTTGCCTTCTTTGTTTGGACTGCTACTTGGGGAAAAATTTTAACATTGGATAATCTGCGTAAGAGAGGTAATACCATTGTTAATTGGTGCTGTCTTTGTAAAACTGATGGTGAGTCCGTGGACCATCTTCTTATGCATTGTCCTGTTGCATCTGATTGCTGGAATCTCATATTTAGTATTTTTGGCGTTCAGTGGGTAATGCCTAAGCACTCTTTCCAATTAATTAATGCTTGGAGAAGATGCCCTGTTTCTGGTCATGCTCGTGATTTTTGGAGGGTCGCCCCACATTGTGTTTGGTGGTGTATTTGGAGAGAGAGAAATAATAGAAACTTTGAAGGGAAGGAATCGTCTTTTACAAACTCTAAGTCTTTTATCCTACGCTCTCTTTTCTGCTATGTCAGAGGCAGCACTTGCTCCTCGATCGATGACTTTTTTGTTTTATTGGACTATGTTGGTCCATAGGTTTAGCTTTTGCTCTTTCGTTTTTGTGTATTAGGGACGCGTTCCCCTTTTGAACGTCTTTCTAATATATTTTTACTTATCAAAAAAAAAAATTTATTTCCGGTTATGGATTATTATTTAGGGGTCTTGATTTATGGATTCCTGAGTTGTACTTTGGAGGTTTACAATGATTATGGGGAATTATTTATTATTGGATTTATTCGGAGTATTGGTATCAGATGTTAATTGAATATTAATTAGTTTTTCCATTCAGCGGATATTTATTTATTTCACTATTTATCCATTTGTATTATGTGCTTGATTATTATTAATTGTTTGATATCCCCCAATCTTTGGGCGAGGACTTGATCAACCTGCGTTCGGAAATTGGGGGGTATCACAATGGTTCCAGAAGAACTAATGGAATCATGGTTTAAAAGGGTAGAAAGACAGTTGCAGGCTTTATGGAGGCTGTAGAGAGGGATATAATTTGATGACGGAGCTTATGGAAAAGTACTTTAGGGTTTTAGAGTTAAAGGCCAAATGAGATGGGGCTAGAGTTATATAATAAGGTGATCGGAATACGAAGTTTTTTCAGCGGTTGGCGAATGCTCATAGAAGACGAAATTTCATTGAGAGGATTCGTTTTGATGAGACCTTGGTGACAAAGGTGGGGGATATTCGGGCTGGTTTTGTGTCTTTTTTTCAGAAGCTCTTTGCCAAGACTGCCTCCTGGAGGCCGTTGCTTGACGGGTTGGAGTTTTCAGGGATTTCTGTTGATGATAGGGATTGGCTTGAGAGACCATTCGAAGAGGAGGAGGTTTTAGAGGCTTTCAGGAGTTGTGATGGGGATAAAGCACCCTGCCCGGATGGTCTTTCGTTGGCTTTTTTTAAGTAGAATTGGGAGGTAGTGAAGCCGAAGGTGATGGGTGCTTTGTGTTTATTTCATTCTGATAGGCATTTTGAGAAATGTTTAAATCCTTCTTTTATTACCCTCATTCCAAAGAAGAGTGGGGCTGTTGAGGCTAAGGATTGAGTGATGAGGTGATCTCAGAATCTCAGAATGCTTTTGTTGGAGGACGTCAAATCCTGGACTCGGTGTTGGTTGCTAGTGAGTGCATTGAGGCCAACGTTAGAAGTGGTGTTCCCGGGATTGTTTGTAAACTGGACAACGAAAAGGCTTATGATCGCGTGTGTTGGAACTTCTTGATGTATATGCTGGAAAGGATGGGGTTTGGTCCTAGATCGAGGATGTGGATTTACCACTGCGCGGTTCTCAGTTTTAGTGAATGGCTTCCCAGCTCGCTTCTTCGTGAGTTCTCGCGGTCCACGTCAGGGTGACCCGCTATCTCTATTTTTGTTTATTATCGTCATAAAGGCTTTTAGCTGATTGATGAGGAGGGCGGATGAGTTGGGATTCATTCGAGGCTTCTCGGTGGGAAACAGTCCGAATCAGTTAGTTATCTCCCATTTGCTTTTTGCGGATGACACAATCGTCTTTTGTGATTCTAGGGTGGATCAGTTGAGGTTGTTGAGATGTGTGTTGGCTTGCTTCCAAGTCGTCTTAGACTCTCAGGGCTGAAGATCAACTTAGGCAAAAGTGAGCTGGTTCCAATTAGGGTAGTTCAAGGAATCCATGATTTTGCTAACATCCTTGGGTGTGATGCCGACACCTTCCTGATTGCTTATTTGGGGCTCCCTCTTGGAGTTGTGTCAAGGAGGACTTCAATTTGGGATCCCGTGATTGAATGATTTGAGAGGCGTCTCGCAGGTTGGAAGAATTAGTATCTGTCAAAAAGGGAAAAGATTACCCTTTTAAAAAGTACTCTTTCAAACCTCCCAACCTATTTCATGTCTCTTTTCCCTATACCGAAGACTGTCATTCAAAGGTTGGATGAGATTTAGAAGACCTTTTTATGGGGTGGTATTGGAGATGAGTTCAAGTATCACTTGGTGAATTGGGAGAAGGTGTGCTCCCCTATCCAAAAGGGGGGTCTGGGCATTCGGAGATTAGATTTGTTCAACAAGGCTCTGTTGGGCAAATGGCTTTGGAAGTTTGGGAGAGAGAGGTCTCGTCTTTAGAGGAGGGCAATTGTTTGCCAGTTTGGGGAGGGTGATGGTGGGTGGCTGTCCAGAGAAGCGAGATTTCCAACGGACATGGGCGTTTGGAAGCTCATCTGGAAGGGGTGGGACTAGTTTGCTAAACGTATTCGATTTAAGATTCGGAACGGGAGTCATGTTAGGTTTTGGGAGGACCGTTGGTGTGGGGATTTTGTGCTAGCTCGTAGATTCTCGTGGCTCTTTAGGATCTCCTCACATCCTCATGCCCTGGTTTCCGACTTTTATCGTCTTGGTAACGAGAGGTTGACTTGGGACATGCAGTTCCGTAGAGAGTTCCATGATTGAGAGCTTCTGGAGGTTGCTGATATTTTAGCCTTGCTCCACAATCAGTTGGTGGAGGGTGTGGGGATGGATGAGATGGTGTGGGTGGGCGCACCACACCAAGAGGGGTCTTTGAGGTTGGGGATTTCCAGCACAGCTTGACGGTGACCCCGGGTCCTTCTTTCCCCCGAAAGGCAATTTGGAGGTCGAAAGCTCCTTTGAAGGTGGCTTACTTTGCTTGGTGTGCTGCCCTCGGTAGCATCCTCACCCTTGACAACCTTAGGAAGAGAAGGCAAATTGTGGTCAATTGGTGTTGTATGTGCAAGAAGACGGAGGAAACAGTGAATCCTTCTTCTTCATTGCCCAGTGGCAAGGGATGTTTGGTCTATGCTTTTGGTCGCATTTGGCATGTCTTGAGTGTTCCCAAGAACAACTGTGGATATGATCGAGGCTTGGAAAGGGTGTCTAGTGGAAAGCCGAGCCAACGCTGTTTAGAAGGTCACTCCCCTTTGTTTATGGCGGGGTTTGTGGCGTGCGAGAAATACGAGATCATTTGAGGGTGAGGAGACCCCTATTTGGTCTCTAAAATATAGTATCCTGCACACTTTATTTTTTTGGGTTAACGGGCGGAATTGTACGTCTTTGGGGGATCTTGTAGATTTTGTTGATAGCTTAAAGCTTTAAATGTCACCTTTGGCATTTTGTGTATTCTCCTGGGAGCGCTCCCCTCTTAAGCGCCTTTTATAAAATCTTACTTATCAAAAAAAAAAAAAAAACACTTTTTATAAGTATTTCTGCTCCATAGAAGCAACATCTACATTTCACACAATGTCACAAACACTAACAAAAAACAAAAGAAAAAGTAAAGTACAGTACAGTACCCGTGTCAAACAAAAAAATCACATATGATCAATTGCACAATCCAAACAGATAGGTACAAAGGATAAAAGTGAGTTTAGGAACCAAATGCATCAAGTCAACACTTCCTAATTCCAGTTAATTGCCTTGACCCAAAATGGGTTAGAAACAGCTTGGTGTAACCAAAGAAAGAAAAAATATGTATTGTCAGTCACCCCCAATGATGTAGGACAAAAGGGCAGCCTTAAATAGGTAAAAACTTACAGAATTCAGAGGCTGAAAGTTTAAACAACTAAGGCTGAAATTTGGAGGTTTGATAGTAGAAATGTGGAAAAATCAAGGAGAAAAGAAATATAATAAGAGCTGCCTATTGGAATCACACTAATTCACACCAATAGGGTCTAGACATCACACCTAGAGAAGGCCTCACACCCTCATATCTTGTGAATCACTCACCAAGATATTTCATAACACTTTTTTATTCATTCATTCACTGAGACACCAAGATTACATTCTAGCCCTTTTATAGCATTTTGTGAGTGCAACTCGTGACCCTTGGAATATCCCATAATTGAGTTAATCAATAGTTGACTCTATAGCATAATAAAAGTAATCACCCCATAATTGAGGTAATCAATATTTGACTTAGAATTACCCTATAATTGAGGCAATCAATACTTGACCCTTAGATTGCCCCATAATTGAGGTAATCAATACTTACCTAATAGCATAATTAAAGTAAATAAAAGTTGACCAAAGCTCCCAATTTTTCAAAACTCCTCGTGGACCCATATTATCTAGACTATGCCACCTCGAGTCTTAGAATCCTCATTTTTGTGCCTTTTATACACCTTTAAATATTTCTGCCATTGATCTCCGTCACCCAATAAAATAGTTCAACATAGGCATAGATGAACACAATGTTAGTTTTGAAAATTCCTCAGAGATACACTTTAAAACGTTTCCAATTCACAGGAACATTTTAAAAGAACTGACTCTTCCACACAAGACTCATAGTGTTACATATATCCTTTGCACATTATATACAATAAGAACACTAAAGAACTTGAACAATATAACCATATCATCATTTCTAACATGTGGGCTATTGTAACATGGATTCTTCAACATCTTTAACATGTGTAAGTGTGAGACACAATTGGATTATTATTTGTATGAAACATGTGGACACATTTACTAACCAACACTTGTAGGCATTCTAGTTTCATGTGTTGGAAAATCTGAAATTTCAAAACCATACTGAGTTGTTCAAGAGCTTCAAAGATCAACTGAGTCCTTTATTAATGTGTTCGAGCTACATCAGAGTGATTGCACACATTAGGAACTGGGTAATTGTGTGTTTGAGAGAACACCAAAGTGTTTAGAAAACTTATTTTTGCTTAACAATGGTTTTGCAAAAAGTTTTTTTTCATACACATCACTCACACACCCACTTTACTTCTCTGAAGACTCAAACCCTCCACCATCCACTTTAAGAGGTAGAGGAGATACCACTAGGCCACAAGACCCTTGGTGGTTTTGCAAAAAGTTGGGCACTTTCTTAAAGCCTTAAGTTGGACTATGTGATAATGCATCGGTGCAAGTGCATTTTGTTTCTCACAACACCTCCCCATCAAGAATCTCCAACAAAATAGGAAGACAACACATTCCTAGATTGCTTAAAGTTGGATAAAATATCTTCAAATTTTACTCTTTTTATTGCCCAGTTCAAAATGATTGTAAATACTCACATATAGAAAGCAATTTCACATAAATATTTCGTTTAACTCTTTAAGCTAATGATGAAGAAAGTTGGCCAAAGTGTTAATATTTCCATACGTCCATGTCTTAAATTCTTAATATAGGAATTACAAAAATCTAGCACGTGGATAAATAGCTGCATATAGCAAATGTACCGATTACGTGTAACAAAGCATAAAAGAGTGACACGGGCGTAAAACCTAGACATATACCCATAGCCAACATCTACACCCAAGTCCACAAAAACGGGGTTGCAAGAAGTATCGAAGAATTTCAAGTAGGGGCCATTAATTTGTGCAACAGTAATAACTTGGGACAGTGAAGTGCGAGAGCGTGATTTGAGTATAATAACAACCACTTTTGTATAAATAATGTTAAATGCTCTTCTATTTTCTGTATACCCCTCCCAGCACCGCACACATGCGGAACCAACACTGGGTGCTTGCCTTCTTCAAATCAGTTTAATTCATTTTGCAATTAACATTCTCATTATAAAGTTATACAAGATTCTACAAGTTCATATGAGCTTACAAGGATATATATTAATACCCATGCTTTTCATGATACAATATATCTACTAACAATGGACATAGAGTAAGACCACTAAAAAAAAATGTAATCCGTATTAGCCAATGTAAATGCATATATCCTCACAAACCATTGCCTCTATCTTTGTCTGGAGGTCAGTGGGATGACAGCTTTCAAGGAAAATCGGAATCCTACCAGCCCCAGAAACAGCTGTCACTAAACTTATCAGGTACTAAAACTAATTTAATATCCTGAATTACAAATTTACAGACATAAACGTTTATCCCTACATATATACTATGTATATCAGTAACACGAAGAGGTTATTTAACAGAATTCAAACTCGGTAAGCATGAAGATTCAGAAAAGGGGAATACATTATATATATATATATATACACGCAAACAAATCATCGACACATGGCGACAATAAAAAGATCTACATTTCCATTGAAAAACAAAACGCAAGCTTTTAAACAATATAATCTATGGTAACTATCATCAGAACATATTCCAAATGGCAGATTTCAATTAAACAGAAAATTAAATGAAATACAGACTAAAAACAACAGAAAAAGAGAACAGAATGAAATTGGAGACTAAATACTCTCGAAGGGGGTTCAGATTACCGTGTTTATATAAATTTATTTTTTTAAAAACTCTTTTAATGACTTATGATGATAGCTTTAGGATTAGACTTCGCCTCATATGAAAAATCAAGCGCTTCAATAGCAAATCCATAAATATACTCGTCGATGTGTGTGTGAGGAAACGACCAGCCCTACTTGCATTACGAGACATAAACCTAATCTTTCACATTTTTTTGAACGTACAAACTGTACATATACATGTAAAATTATGTAGAGAACGGGAGGATGCTTACAGAGAGAGAGCGCGCGAGCGAGAGCGAGAGCGAGAGCGAGAGAGAAGACACGATGATGATGGAAAGACGTCGGAGCGACGGAGCTACGAAGATGAACCCACGCCACTGGTGTAAAATGGGTAGTGGGCTTTAGACCGGGCCTGTCCGAGTCCCATTTTGTGCCAACCCAAACTAACCCGAACGCCTGGGTAAAGCTTTTCCTTATCCCAGTCCGAGCCAAAATGGGCCCAATGTCGGGATATGGCTGAGCTTCTGTTTTTTTAACTGTCCTGGCTGAGCTTCTGAACAACCCCAAAAAAAACCGAAAATACATTTTTATCACATAAAAAAAAAAAAAAAAAAACAGGAAACCATTTTTAAAAAACAGATTCCCTACCAATAATTCCCCACCAACCCATTAGACAAGCCTTAGTGATCCGTTTAAATTATATAGAGAACATGAAATTATATAATTGGAGAAAACTCAATACAAAGTTTGATAATTTAAAACCATAAAACTATTCCTAGTATTCTTCATAATAGAAAATTGTGTTAGGTTTTTTTTTTTTTTTTTTTTTTTCTTTTGTAAATAACTCTCGTAATGTTCTTGGAGATAATATGTTAGATAATTGAAAATGATATATTCTTTAAAATATATTTGATTTTATCAGAAGAATCACTAAATCGAGAATTTCCTATTACTTGTGCATCTCCAATGGCTTCTTAAATGGGCTCTCAAACTCAAAATATAATAGGTGGATGAAAATATGGCACTTCAATGACCTCTCAAAAAACCTCTCATATTTTGAGATTATCAAATGTATTCTCAAATATAGCAGCTCTCAAATGGCCTCTCATAATCAAAATATAACAAGTGGATGAAAATAGGCACTCCAATTAACTCTCTCAAAAGACCTCTCATATTTTGAGATTGCCAAAAGTTGCTAAAATGATAATAAGGCACTACAATGGGCTCTCAAAATATGGAATGATTGTTGTGTCAAGAAATAGTAGCATTTTGAATGAAATGCACTATTGGAGCAGAATTGTAAAAATATAGCATTTTGACACTGTAGTTCATCTCAAAATATAAATTTGACATGGAAATATAGTATTTTGCATTGGAGATGCTCTAGAGATTGTTTCTCACTAAAACTCATCTACTATGTGGGTGTTTGGGATTGTTTTTCTTCTACTGAAAAGCACTTTCATTTAAAAAAATTGCGGCGCAATGTGTTTGGTGGGAAAAAAAAAAAAAAAAAAAAAAAGCGTTGTGGTAGAGTTTACATCAAAGAAACGCGTTTAAGTGAAGTTAAGAATGGTAACTTTTAAAATTGCGTTATAGGTAAAGGTTCATGTTTTTAGGTAACTAAATTTTTTTAGACAATTTAATCCCTTTATATTTTTTATAAATGCAATTTTGCCCCTGTTATAAACAAATAGCAAACAATATTGGGACTCTATAACAAACGAAGATTTTAAATTATTTTGGGACTCAGCCGCTTTCCAAATCAGATACAAATTAATCATCATTAAAACATGTTTAACTCATTTATATTTTAGTACTCAATACAAATTCGATATCATAAACAAAATATGTGATATTTAAAAATATAAAAAATAAATTATTGAACTCAATGGAATTTTATAATATTTAATATTAGGGAATTAGCACATGTTTAGTGTAAGGGTAATATAGTAAAATTACTAATAAAAGTGCTTTAAGCTACATTATTACCAAACACATTTAAAAGTGCTTAAGTATAAAAAAATACTTTATACAATGTGTCACCAAACGCATAAGTGCGTTTTACTGACAGCAGTTTTATAACAGCTTTACTATAAATAAAAAAAACGCTTTTTAACATTCTAACAGCAATCTCAAACGGGCTCTATATCTATTTGGTAGTAGGTCTTGTTTACAAAATCTAAAGCCCTCCCCTATTATATACACACATAACATCTATGTAGAATTTGAAGAGAAAAAGTTTGGTGGAGAATGCAATTTGCAAATTATGTGGGTCTTGTGTAGAAACATTTAATCATATTCTATTTGATTGCCATTTAGCTCAACTGGTTTGGAGACCAAGTCTTTTGGGAATCACTTTCCCAAACTGTCATTTAGGGTATCAAAAATGGCAATGGTTACTGGAGCAATGGCAGAATGTTGATCAGGCCTCTGACCTATTGAGTTTGGGTGGTTTCATTTGCTGGCAACTGTGGAAGACAAGAAATAATTAGGTTTTTAATGGTAACAAAAGAGATCCAATTCTAGTGATGGAGAAAGCTATATTCTTTTTCAATGAGTTTAGAAGGGTTCAACAACAACTGAAAATAGAGAAAATGGCTAATCTCTATTATACTGTACTATTACTTACTCCCAGACATGGTGTGAGGACATGTCCTTTTTTATTATTTTTTTTTTCGACATTTTCGGGTTTTGGATCATGTGGAACTAGTCGGGTTAAGTGTTCGGGAAATTTTTTCTAACACTCTGCATTTATTATTTTGGGACATTGTGGACATATATATTTCATTTGGGATGCATTGGATGTCATATTTTATTTTGGGGCGATTGCGTTATTACTTTTAGAGATATTTTGATTTTAGACCTTTTATGTGATTTTGGACGTATGTGGACCCCACTTTTGACTTGTTAACTTGGTAAGTGGGATATTTGTGTTTGTATGTTTATAGATTTTTACATGGACCTTGGAAGTAGCACCCGTACTTTTGCCCTGTCTCCCTAACTCTCATATAGTCTGTATGTCCTTGCTCTCCGCCTCAACAACTAAGGCCTTTCTCACGGCCCCTGCATACTTCGTCAACTCTTTCACTACCACCTCCGGCCTAATAGAAAAATCAAGACCATCCACAAACTTCGACGTCTTGTCTTCCTTATCATTAGCTATCTCCGGTGCAAAACCTTAAAAGATACGTGAACTTGTTCTCATATTTTGTGACCGACATGCTTCATTGCTTGAGATTAGAAAACTCTGTCCTTAACTCTCTCCTCTTGGGGCCGGAAAGTACTTGTAATACCCCGTAATTTTAAAGAATGTATTTAAATTAATCTTGTGTTAGGTTAATTAATTTTATTTATTTGTGCATACTACATTATTATATTAAGTTCATTTAATTGTGCATGTAAATTAATTGTGTATGTTAAAATAGTAAATTTATTCATTTAATTATGCATGTATTATTAATAATAATTTCATTTGTTGGTTATGCTTAAATTAATCATTATTAGTTAATTAAAGTATTATATTTGTGTTATATAGTATTATGATGATATAATGTATTATTTTGTAATAATAATAATTATATTAGTTTAATAATAATAATAATAATAATAATATAATAATAATAATAATTATTATAAAAGTTTATTAATAATAATATTAGTAATAATAATAATAATATTTATAATAATAATAATAGTATTAAACCAAAGTCATGATGAAATTAGAGATTAGGATAGGATTGCATCAATGGTTATGGTTGGAATTAAAGCCATATAGGTAGGAATATGAGAAATGGGTGAGAAGTTATTATAAATTAGATATTTGTAATATTTATATTATATATTTTGTCTATAAATTAACTAGCTTGCCTTAGAAAAAAATAAAAGGGAGTTAGAAGCAAAGTATAAATTCTAGAGAGCTATTTTATAAGAGTGAAAGGAAAAGAGAAAGAGAAAGAAGCTTGGACCGGTGTAGGCAATTTTACCCGACTACGCGCAGACCGGCGGATTTATTTTAAATCCAAAAAGGCAAGTTATTATCTACTTTTCCCCTTTGAATTAATAAATTAATTGTTTAGCTTATTTTTATGCATAGAGCCAAGGTTTGGAGGTTAATAAATTATTAATTTTATTTTATTAAATTAATGGAATTTTAATTATATAGGATGGTATATATTTATTTAATGTCCTATGAAATTAATAATGGCTAAAAATAATTAAATAAGACTTTAGGGATTTTTCTAGAATTTTCTAGATTTTTCCGGGCATTTTCTGCAATTTCCGGCGACCTTCCGGCGAGTTTTCCGGTCGCCGGCAGTGGGGGAGACGACCGGAGTGATCCGGTGCGACGCGGCACACCATAGGAGGGTGTACGCGCGCATCCTGGCCATTAGTGGAGTCTGATTGATCCGGTGCATCGCGGTCCATGATACCGCGGTACACCCGGATCTGTGGGCGTTGGATGGAGGGAAGATAGGGTGAGATGATCCGGTGTGACGCGAGTACGGAATCCGGATGCAGCCAACCAACCAGGAAGTGACACATCAGCAAGGCACCCTTAGTGCGCGCGTGGGAGCGCGTGGCTGATGCCAGACGCGCGTGGAGGCGCGTGGGAGAGTGGGGAAGGTTGGGCTGCGCGTGGGGAGGCTCTGGGAGGCGCGTGAGGGCGCGTGTGGGGTCCCTACAGCTGCTGGAAATTACCAGAATACCCTTAGGGCCTGTTTTGTAAATTCCAGAACCTTAAACTTGGATTTTTAGGTACTGTGTTGGTAATTACGGGTTTAACGGGCCACGAAATTATTATTTTAACACCCGTTACTTATTCTTATGGCCGATTAATCTTTTCTAAGCATTTATTGGCTCGTTCGCAGTACGGATACTAATGTGATTTATTTAACGACATTGTTAAATATAAATAGTGTTATTATCGTATTTAATGGTATCAAACATTACTGTTAAATTAAATAAGGCCATGGTTTTAGTCAGATAAATTATCCATGATATCTTATAGGATGTTTATACTGTTAATTGATATATAAACCATGATTATTATGCTGTGTGCATTTCAGGAAATAAATGGACTGTTTAATTATGTCGCATTTATATTATATGGATGTGTTGCCATATAGAACCATATGAGCTGGCTAATAAGTTTAGACTCATTTATACCTTATGCATTCGTTGCGATAGACAGATGTGTGGCTGTCGGGGTATGTGGTTTAATATTATTGGCATGTGTTGCCTAATTGACATACTCGGTATATTTATTAATATTATTGGCATGTGTTGCCTAAATTGACATTCTCGGTACATTTATTAATATTGTTGGCATGTGTTGCCTAATTTATATGCTCAGTATATTCATCAGTACTTTGCGAGGTGTTATCACTGTGTAGTTCGTTATAGTCTGTGTTGTCAGTACCGTA